TGTGTCCAGAGGAGGGCGACTAAAATGATCAAGGGTCTGGAGAACAAGCCCTATGAGGAGCGGCTTTAGGAGATGGGCATGTTTAGCATGAAGAAGAGAAGGCTGAGAGGAGATGTGATAGCCATGTATAAATATGTGAGAGGAAGCCACAGGGAGGAGGAGGGAGCAAGCTTGTTTTCTGCTTCCTTGGAGACTACTTAATTTTGCTTCTGACCTTAACCTTTTAATTGATCCATTATTTTCTCTTTGTCCTTTCCCTCCAGGTGTATTGTCATCACCTCAATTTTCTTCCAATTAATTGTTAGGCTTGTTATTTTTCCAAACTGTTTTAAATGTAGATTTATCCAGTTTAGTGCCCTGTAATAATAATAATAATAATAATAATAATAATAATAATAATAATAATCTGTATTTATACCCGACCACCATCTCCCCCAATGGGGACTCGGGGCGGCTTACATGAGGCCAAGCCCGAACAACAGATTAAAATAAAATAGGATACAAATTGCAATAAAATAAACAACATAGCATTAAAGCATAAAACATATAAGCATATAAACAATATCTAGATTCCTGACTGTCAAAAGCGTATCATCCGCAAATAAGCTGATTTTGATTTTGTTGTCCATTTCCATTCCCTGTATCTCCTTTTCTTTCCATATCGCAGAGGCCAATAACTCCATACTAATATAAATAGTACCAGGGAAAGAGGGCAGCCCTGCTTTACTCCTTGCTTAATTCTAAAAGGTTCAGTACTTGAGTAATTAATTATGACTTTGGCCCTGTTTTCCGAGTATATTTGTTCTATTATATGTTGTAAACCTGTCGTGAACCAAGAGCCAGACACAAAGAAAAGGTCCAAACAAGATTTATTAACACAACAAAATAGCTTAGAAACACTTAACTCAGTGTTCCTAGCAATATCTAAAAGTCTGCAGCAACTGCTGTGCAAAAAAAACATAATTTAGTGGATAATCCGGATTATACTGTAGTATAATCCGGGATAATAAAAAGTTCAAGCAAACTGCTTCAAAAACACAGAGTTCAATAAACACAAGGAAACAAGGTGGAAGCAAGCAAAATCGTCATCAAAAAACAGTCTCAAGTCCAAGCACATCCAGAAGCAGTCCAGGAAGTGATGTCATCGTCCAAAATTATTGTAATAATTGTATACTAATTGTGTAATGTGTTATGTTGTTACCGTTTTTTACACTGTTGCATTGAATTTTTGCTGCTCTTATTGGTTGTGAACCGCTGTGAGTCGCCTCCGGGCTGAGAACAGCAGTATATAAGTAAATAAATAAATAAATAAATAAAACAATCCGGAGTCAGCAAGGAAGTAGAAGTCAGCACTTACAGGATTCCAGTCAGTAGAAGCACGGAAACACAGCAATCTACAGTCCCAGGACCCAAGGCGAAAGTAATGGCAGCAACAAAGTCCCAAGCCCAAATACAACACTTTGCCTACTGCAAAGTCCCCAAAGTTTGATACCTTCTTTTATCCTATAACTCATTATCAGATGATGAACTGCTCTCCACCCTGTCTTCATCACTCTCAGGTGCCTTAGCTTCCACAGCTGCTCGCCACCGCCCGTCCCTCCAACTTTTCCAGCGTCTATCAAGACTAAGTTCCTCCTCTCCCTTTCACTTCTTTGGCTCTCAGTCTCTGCTATACACTCCCCAGACTTATGTTCTAGCTCATGTGTGTCTGCATCAGCCTAGCAGCCCCCCACCAGCCCTTCTTGTTAGTTCACCTCTTTGAATCTCACTAGCCTTTTTAAAAAATCCTAAAATGGATGACCCAAACATTCTGAAACTTGGGGGGCTTGCAGTGGTAAATGTGTCCTCCAAATGTGGCCATTTTTGTCCACATAGCCATAAATGAGGGAAAGAGGAGCCTTGCCAATTCCTACATTGAAACCAATGGCTGGATCTTCCCAAAGCGAAAAAGGAACTTAAGGCTGTGGATACAAGAAATGGTATTTTCCCCCTCCCGATTTCAGGAACTTCCCAAAAAACAGAATAGGAGCCTAGCCAAAAACAGGACGGAAAATGAGATGGGGTTTTCCTAAATTGCACACCCCTAATCCTTTGTAAGTTCTTGCCTTGGACAACTCCCAATTTCAGGTCACACTTACTGTGCAGATAATTCCCCTGTGACGGCGCGAGTGGCGCCACCTATGTATAGAACTGTTAGTTGCAAGATTTAAACTGTTGTATTATGCTTAATCCTGCCCCCTTTACCATGTTTATGTACAGTTGTATGGATTGGTTGCTTGTAGCTGTCAATCAGTACTGTTTGGCTCCACCTCTTCCTGGAGGGGGGGAGTGGTTTCCTTCTTCATTCTGCCATCAGAGGTCCTGCCATATGGACGTGAGTAAGAGACTTGTTTCTTAAAGACCCTGATTTAAGTTACCTCTTAGCACCAGTTCTGAGGTTTTTTACCCCTGGGACTCATGCTTTATGTCCAGATCGTCCTGGACAATTATTGAGGAGACCCAGGCGCCTTCAAGCCGGTTCTTTTGGCACCAAAGGAAGATCCTGAATCTTCAAAACATAGGCCATCTGAACTGGGGTTGTGGTTTGCTCCGGCATTCACAGCCATTGAGGAAAGAGGAAACTTGGTGAGGCTTCTCAGCTTCAAACCCCTTGGACCCAGGACTAATAGAGCTAATTGAGACTGTAGAGTATGTTTTTCTTCACCCCTCTAAAGTTTTCCAGCTTATTGCTTTGAAGAAATGACTGTGATCAATAAAACTTATTTTGAGCTATTTACATCGTTTTGGGTTTTTGGGAATTCCAGTTTCCTAAAGGAGGACAAGAAGCAATCCCTTGGGGGAAAAGTGCCACGTCCATCCCTCCTTCATTAAGACTAATAGCCCCCAAGCGCGACGGCACATCCCCCTTTTAAAGTAAATTCTCAATTCTTGTTGTGGTATTTGCTTACAACTCATTTTTGTGGTGACATGTGAACTATAAGCAAATACCACATAACTAAAATACAAAGATCAGTAAGAGGCCAGACTAACAAAGCTGGATCAGAGGAAGTTTATTGCTCACAATCATGGATTTCACCATCTGCACGGGTGAACTCTTTTAGCACTGACTGTACTCCTTGGTGCCATAGACTTCCACCTCGCAGACATGGAGCCATTCTCTTCGGTTAGGGATGATGATGCTCACGTAGCGGCCCTTGAACCCATAGCAGCTGATGGTGCTGATGGAGCCTGCACGGGTGTCTGTGATGGTCCCACAGCTGCAGGGAGAGGACGGAGGAGGGAAATCAGGAGGAAGAAATCATTAATGGACTACATGACCAAGTAGAAGGGAAAGAATGCAGTGGAGAGAGATATAAAAGAGCTAAAAGGGTGAAGAGTCAAGCTCTCCTGACAAAGGGCCATTTGAGGAAGAACAATTTGAAGATGAACCTCACAGTACATGGGAGAAATGAATCATTGGGAGCAAATGACATACCAAGGTAACAGCTCTATTACAATAGGATACAAATTGCAATAAAATAAACAACATAGCATCTATATATATAAAAATGCTCTGTGCATAATGAGTACCTTAAAAACAAAAGAACCAATGAACGAAATCACACCAAATTTGGCAACAAACCATCTCACAACACAAGGAGTGACCATCACTCAAAAAATTATGATTTTGTCATTTGGGAGTTGTAGTTGCTGGGATTTATAGTTCACCTACAATCAAAGAGCATTCTGAACTCCACCAATGATGGAATTGAACCAAACTTGGCACACAGGACTCCCATGACCAACAGAAAACACTAGAAGGGTTTGGTGGGCATTGACCTCGAGTTTTGGAGTTGTAGTTCACCTACATCTAGAGAGCACTGTGGACTCAAACAATGATGGATCTGGACCAAACTTGGCACAAATATTCCATATGCCCAAATATGAACACAGATGGAGTTTGGGGGAAACAGACCTTGACATTTGGGAGTTGTAGTTACTGGGATTTATAGTTCACCTACAATCAAAGAGCATTCTGAACCCCACCAATGACAGAATTGGGGCAAACTTCCCACACAGAACCTCCATGACCAATGGACCCTTCTGACACCCCCTCGCAACCCCCCCCCAGGGGTCCCAAACCCCAGGTTGAGAAATGCTGCCTTAAGGCCATCCAGTCCAACTCCCTTCACCAGGGCAAGAAAACATAATCAAAGCTCTCCTGACAAAGGGCCATCCAGCCATTCACACACACACATATATGTATATGACAGATGCAGTATCAAAGATTTGAAAGGGACCCCTAAAGAAGGACAGTGATATGTTGTATGTTCCAGAGTAGGCAAACCGGACATCAACACTGGCAAAGAAACAGCAAGAAATACTGTTGACCCACAAGCAGAAAGACATGACATATATTAGAAACCAACACTTTCTCATTACTTTATTTTCCAGATCACCAGACTGGGCCACAGCAACGCGTGGCAGGGGACCGCTAGTTAAAGTATAAAACATATAAGCATATAAACAATGTCTGGATTCCTGACTGTCAAAAGTGTATCATCCGCACATGTGTCGAATTCAAGGCCCATGGGCTGAATTTGACCTACCACGTCATTTAACGTGGCCCACAAGACTCTCAATGCCAGGGCAGCATCATCATCATTTATTATCTGCCTCTCCTTGTGGCTCAAGGCAGGGTACAACATGGTAAGTGAGGTAAAACAATACACTATAAAAATACTTATAGCAAATGCACTTAAATGCTGCTTAAAATTTACCAATAAAATGCAGATTAATATTGACTGGGTAAGCCTACTGGGAGAGAAAGCTCTTAACGTGTGTCTTAGATTAGCCGCTTCCCAGAAGACCTTAGGGTTCAAAGAGGCCATGGATCATGTGGGAAAAGGCCATCCTGCGGGAAACCTGGACCCAAACAATGGAAGGCTTTAAAGATCAAAGCTAAACCGTTTATATGCATAAATGTATACTGTATTTAACCTGTTTTTCAGGAATGTATTTGGTGTATATAATGTATTTATTGCCTAATGTGTATTGTTGCAAATGTTTTATTGCAAATGTATTTTTACCATGTACTGTGGGGAAGGTAAACAGTTTTGTTAGGTTTGTTTAGTTAGGGTTGCAGAGTGTAGCTAAGCCTTTGCTTCAGAAGAGGAATGAAAACCTCTTCATTCAGCAAAGCATCTTGGGTCAGGGAGGAATGTAATGAATCCCTTACCTTAGCTAGCTGCCTGATAGCCTAAGGGAGTGGGCCTGGCGAAGCCACGGCATCCATCTTAGAAAAGGGAGACAGGGAGAAGCCATCTTAGGTTAGGTTTGCCTTGAGGGGGCATGTTCAAGTCTAGGAGGGAAAATCAGAAGGCTAGGATTGGCTAGAAAGATGGGGGCGGAGCCTAAGTGGTTTAGAGGGAAAAGTGTCTTTTAAACTGAGGCTTGAGGTCCCAGTTTGCCAGTTGGAGTTTGGAACGGGTAGAGAGAAGAAGTGTGGGTGTTAGCGAGAGCAGTTTGGGTTTGAAGAAGAAGATTGGGTTAGTCTTTTGTGTAGTATTCAGAATAGCTATTGAGTAGATAGCTAGAATACTGTTTTGTGGAGCAGTACCCCATTAGTGGTCTGTTCAATTCCTAAGGAAGTCTAGTTCAGGGTTTTTGGCTAGATTCCCAAGGGGCATTTTTGGGAGTTACTGTCAGAGATTCATTTCCTGAAGTAATTTTCTGTGGTGGAACTTTGAAGACTTGTAACCCAGAAGTTTTTAAGATTTTGACTCTAATGCAACCACAAGCTTTTTATGCCAGTATTTTACTGAAACCATTAAGCATTTGTACCTGAATATTTCAAGCCTGTTCAATAAACATTCTTGTTATTTTTATCAACTTATACCAGCCTCAGTGTGAATACCTTTGTGGTCAAAGCATTACTAAAGTCAGCTTCACAACAGCCTTTAAGAAACTATAGTGACACAGTGTGTGTTACAGAACAATCTCTCAAATATTACCTCAGCCTGTTTGATTAATACAGAAATGGTGGCAGCGGAAATCTTTTGAAGAATCATTTTAAGACTCTCAGTTCCAGTGGTTCCCAGTTCCTAGCTTTTAAAAGATACAGTTGGTTCAGCAACCACACTCCCCCTACCATTTGTGAGCTTGATTACAATTTTAGCAGAGCAGAGTTGGGATTTATTTTATACATATTTTCCTATCTCTCATACATTAATTAAAATACGCATCTCTTACTACACCTCTCTGTTTTGTTATATTTTTGATGAGCCTTGCAGTGTGGTTTGTTATACACAGCAACAAACCTTTACTTTTGAACACAACCAATCCCAGCTGTTCTCTCTTCCTCTCCATCTCTGTCCGTGATGTCAGAAGGAAATCTCAGCCAAAGAGAAAGCGGATCCTAGGAGGCATGTCTCTTGAGTAGCTAAAGGGGGAAGTGGGTGGTTTGAATAGCTGCCAAACTTTACAAAATGTGCTATACTTTTGTGTATGAGTTATGTCAGTTCTTTTAGTGATCACACTGTTCTGTCATCCATCCGACCAGATGAATCATAGAAGCATAGAATCATAGAATCAAAGAGTTGGAAGAGACCTCATGGGCCATCCAGTCCAACCACATTCTGCCAAGAAGCAGGAATATTGCATTCAAATCACCCCTGACAGATGGCCATCCAGCCTCTGCTTAAAAGCTTCCAAAGAAGGAGCCTCCACCACACTCCGGGGCAGAGAGTTCCACTGCTGAACGGCTCTCACAGTCAGGAAGTTCTTCCTAATGTTCAGATGGAATCTCTCTTGTAGTTTGAAGCCATTGTTCCGCATCCTAGTCTCCAGGGAAGCAGAAAACAAGCTTGCTCCCTCCTCCCTGTGGCTTCCTCTCACATATTTATACATGGCTATCATATCTCCTCTCAGCCTTCTCTTCTTCAGGCTAAACATGTCCAGCTCCTTAAGCCGCTCCTCATAGGGCTTGTTCTCCAGACCCTTGATCATTTTAGTCGCCCTCCTCTGGACACATTCCAGCTTAGAGTCAATATCTCTCTTGAATTGTGGTGCCCAGAATTGGACACAATATTCCAGATGTGGTCTAACCAAAGCAGAATAGAGCGTGGGTAGCATTACTTCCCTAGATCTAGACACTATGCTCCTCTTGATGCAGGCCAAAATCCCATTGGCTTTTTTTGCTGCCACATCACATTCCTGGCTCATGTTTAACTTGTTGTCCACGAGGACTCCAAGATCTTTTTCACACATCCTGCTCTCAAGCCAGGCATTGTCCCCCATTCTGTATCTTTGCATTTCGTTTTTCCTGCCAAAGTGGAGTATCTTGCATTTGTCACTGTTGAACTTCATTTTGTTAGTTTTGGCCCATCTCTCTAATCTGTCAAGATCGTTTTGAATCCTGCTCCTGTCCTCTGGAGTATTGGCTCTCCCTCCCAATTTGGTGTCATCTGCAAATTTGATGATCCTGCCTTCTAACCCTTCATCTAAGATGAATAAAACTTCTGTTATTGCTTCAAACTCAGTCTCGTTTTTTCTGGCTTTCGAAGTAGCATGGTGTCCTGGATGTTCCTGTAATTAGTCTGGCTGCTACATTTTTACATTGATTTATATAGTCTTACAATTACAATCAGCACTTTAAACGCTACCATTAGTCTGAGTTAGCCCTCAGTGGAGATGAATTTGATATCTCTGATGTAAAGAGACAGAAGCTTCTCCTGTTCGAACTAAAATCTATCCCCAAAACACTGACTCATATAATTGAAATGCTCAGGACACACTCCGATTACAAGGAAAGGAGGCACTAAGCATTGCAGTAACCACAGTACCGGTGCATTAATTTCGAAGGCAAGTGGTACTCAAAATTCTGCAATAAATATACACAGAGAGAAAGGCCAAATCCTATTGCACATGTATGTTGAATAATGGAAGGGAATAGTAAAGCCGTGGAGCATTGCTGAAGGAAATCAAGGAAGAAACACCAGCATGGATGCAGAAGATAACTGCAATGGGGAAAGCATCAAGTGAGCCTGGTTGTTCAGCCAGAGCGATATTCAACGCATAGAGTAGGCTTGGGTAACCACGGAAAAATTTGGTTCTAAACTCGTTTTGTTTTTAGGGGGCCCTTGCGTTTCGTTTTTTTTAATAATTCCGAAATTTTCCTTTAAAAAATTTCAAAATTTACGAAATTTTGTAAAATTACGAATTGATTCGTTAATGGCGGATGCGATTGCACAATACGCTAAAAAAAACCTCCAAATGGGACAGGGGAACTTCTGAAGCTTCCCTCTCCCTCTGTTGTTGACTGTTGGTGTGATAAAACAAACAACAACTATAAAACTTGCACCGGACATGCGAAAATAATTACGAAATAATTACGAAATAATTACGAAATAAATTGAAAAAATTGTTTCGAATCTAATTTACTCCTCACACTATTCCTGCATGGCTCAATATTGGATCGTAAGCTAATTTAAATACGAATTAATAACGAATTACGAAATTAACGAACGAAACCGCCCAAGCCTAGCAGATAGATATGTAGATGGAGTGATTGATGGATTGAAGGATCCCCCCGTAGTTTCCCACACGGATCTGAGCTCCCTGGAGTCTTTCTCCGCAGCAGTCCCCCCGGTTCTTCACCACCACAGTAGCAATGGCATATTCCTCTCCCAGGTCCACGTACCACCAGGGCTCATAGTCACGGTTGGTGTGGGTGCAGGACTTGATGTTGTACCAGTCCCCATTGCAATTCCCATCCACAGCTTTGCTGGCCAAGCCAATATTATGGAGTGGGTAGAGAGAGGACTGGAAGGCTGGGCGGCCTCTGGCCAAGTTACGAACTGGGGGAAGAAGGGCAACAAGATGGAGACAGTGCACTTCTCATCATTTTGGAATCAAGAGACATACACACACATGAATTTTTGTTCTAAGGAGAAAATGGGAATTTGGAGGCATGGGTACACTGGGTCAAAAACAGGGAATCGTTTTTGAATGATTGGGCAGTTGCTACTATGGGTTGTTGTAGGTTTTTCCGGGCTATATGGCCATGTTCTGGAGGCAATTTTTCTCCTGACGTTTCGCCTGCATCTATGGCAAGCATCCTCAGAGGTAGTGAAGTCTGTTGGAAGTAGGAAAAATGGGTTTATATATCTGTGGAATGACCAGGGTGAGACAAAGGACTGTTTGCTGTGGCTAGATGTGAATGTTTCAGTTGCTCACCTTGATTAGCATTCAATGGCTTAGAAGTGCCCGGGGGGAATCCCTTGTTGAGAGTGATTTTTTGTGCCTGTTTGTTTCCCCTCTGTTGTTTTGCTGTTGTGATTTTTGAGTCCTTTAATACTGGTAGCCAGATTTCATTCCACAGATATATAAACCAATTTTTCCTACTTCCAACAGACCTCAATACCTCTGAGGATGCTTGCCATAGATGCAGGCGAAACGTCAGGAGAAAAATTGCCTCCAGAACATGGCCATATAGCCCGGAAAAACCTACAACAACCCAGTGATTCCGGCCATGAAAGCCTTCGACAATAAGTTACTACTATGCTAAACACTTAACAGAACACAATGATGCAATGGGATATCATTGGGATAGGCATTGTGTAACATCCCACCCCCAACCCCAATGTCCCTGAATTTCAGCTCCCAGCAGCCTTACCCACAGAGCCAGTGGAGGAATGCTTGGAGCTGCAGAATGGTAATATCTGGAATACCGGACATTTCCAACCTGCAGAGGATCAGCTCAGACATCCAGGGAAAAAGGGAAATGGACTAAATCTCTGGGAAAATGGTGACACGGTAGCCAAGAGTCAGTGGCCAGTTTGGGCACCACACTTCAAGGACGGTGTCCAGACAGTGGTGACCAAGAGGGCCAGTGGTCTGGAGATCACCAAGCCCTTTTGAGAAAGACCTCCCCTTGCTGTTCTTACAATGGCCTTGCAGCTCCGGCTTGCAGCTCCAAGCCTCTCCGTGTCCAACCAGGATCACCACAGTGGCCAGCAAGCCCATCCAGATCCGGATCATTCTGCCAAAGGAAAGGGAAGTAGAGTTGGAAATCAGAGGGCTCTAGTGTTCCTACTTAACCCCTCAAAGGATCCCCAGATAATGCAAATATTAAACCAAAATGCAAAACCTCATCATGAAATCTGAACAGAATGGCTTGCGTTGAAAAGTTTAGGAAGTGGACATAACAAGAATCAAAGGATTGTTGGATTACAGTTGACTCTGAAGAGCAAGGGGTTCAAATGGTTAATCAGCCAGAAAACCCAAAGGGGTTGTTGCATCCAGGTTCAAGGAACGAGACCCTAAGATTAAATCCACCACACTGGACTGTAGGAAAAGCAATCCTTGTTTATTGATGAAAAATTGGTTACAAAAGAAAGGTAAATGCAAAGTCAAAAAGCCACAGAAAAACACAGCAGTCAGTAGAATCTCTGAACTTGAGCAAAATTTTAAAAGCCACAATACAAGAACCAGGAATCTGTTAGCTTTTTACTAACCATGAACTTGATAAATACAAGCCTCTGGGATTACCGGCCATGAAACACAGGAATTCTGCCAAGGCACAGCCACAATCCCAAACGTTGCTTGACCTAAAGAGGCACCCGGCAGGAGGCCTCTTAAACCAAAGAAGCTATTCTTTGAAACGCCCCTTGACTTTGACGTCTGGGCCTGTCTCTCCTGTAAACGATGTGACCTTCGTAGAAACTGGGAAACATTTCTGTCTCTAACTATCTGTTCTCTTCAGTCCTCATTAAAAACCCCAGGTGGAGAGATATCACGGCTAGTGATATCACGGCTAACTTCCAAAACATTTTCCTCCAGCTGTTGAGTTTCCTTTTCATCCCCGCTGACCTCTGCATCAACAACAGATTCCACACTGTCAGGGTCAGGGAGAGCTTGCTCAGTTGGAAAAACTATCAGAGAATCCGGTTCACACAGATCAGGATCAGGCTGAACCCCAACAGGGGTGACCTGCGCAAGTGTCTCTCTCTCAACCTCCTCAGATGAAGGCCATGCTGGCAAACGTTTTCAGAGTAAGTTCCACCATGAAAACCCAGAGACAGATTCACCCGAGGGCCACCTTGAAATTGATAGGAACTTTAGAAGGGTCCACTCCAGCAGGAGAGACCCTGCCCCCCACCAAAGAGGGATCGCTATGTTGGTGAGCAAAGAGAAGCCTAATTTTGACCAATTTATTTTCCCAAAAAGTTTCCCAAGTTCCCAAAAAGAATATCACCAAAGTTGAAGAAAGTGCCACTGAGATATTTATTAGTGATTCAGCTGAAAAGGATGCAAAGCAGCAATCATTCGCCAAGCTAAGCATACATATACAGAAATAAATGCCATTTTAATAGAAAAACAGAGTGTGGGGTTTGAATCTTCCCCCCTCCCCCCTGCCTGGCTTGAAGGTGATTGGCTGGCACCTCAACAACTGGGAGGAGGCTTGTCTGCCCCTCGAGTGCCTGGGCCAATTACAGGGTTTCTGCCGCCTTGGCACGTCAACGAATCAGGAGGGAGGGAGGTGGGACAAGGGAATACAATGCATTCTTGAATGGATTATGGAGTCACAGGAAATGTCCAGGAGGCCTAATGAGTCCGAACCGGCCTTCAAGAAAAGCCAATCTATTGTCTTGTGATGAGTTTGAGATAAGCATTGATCACTTAATCCAGGTTTTCCTCTTTCAGTCGGATGGGGCACAAAAGGGGGAGACTTTGGTGAATGTCTTTAATGGAAAGGCTTGAAAGAAAACAGGTTGGGGGAAGAGGATTTCCTGAAGATCCTTGTTTCCCCCCATTGTAATGTGATTAAAAAGTCTGCCAAATGATTATCTTCTTGATGGCCTGACTCTGAAGTCAAGAAAATAATTCTTTGTTAAATTTCCATGCAAGAAAGGTTCTGAGAGAAGGGTTTTCACAATCACTAATGGCTTTTTGCAAGGGCAACTTCCTTATTCATTTTCCTCAAGTAGAGGGGAAGAGGGCAAAAGGGTCAGGGCCAGGTCAAATACATGAAGGGAAATATAGAAATACAGGAGAAAATATGAAAATATAGAAATCATAATACATAGAGTAAACCCAACTACCCTCCCCCACTGTCCCCCATAGGAAGGTCCATAAAGGGAAATCTATCCCTGAGGGGGAAAGAGAGTCCCTTGTTTGTGAGATGTGGGACCATCAGGAGGCCAGGTGGGTCTCAGATGGAAACACTCAAATACTTTTGTGGCATGATTTTCAGTAATAAATTGGTCACCTTCTGTTGTAAACATATGAAAATAGGGCATAAAGCCTTGATTAAGTGATATACACCAAATTGACCAAGGCTTAACCCTTATTATCCAGCCTGGTGTCCTTGCCGTTAGCAAAACTATAAGTTACTATCTCTTATAGGGTGGGGGGGGGGGTCATGTTCGACTTCAACCTGAGGGTCAGAAATGGCTTGAAGGCAAAGGAAACAGCATAGGGACCAATGGTTGTGAGATTCAAGGAGGCATATTTCAGATTATCGTTGCAAATGTCCTAAACAGCCACGAAACATTTCTTCAGGTGGATGCATTTTCCTAAGGCAGTGTTTCTCAACCTGGGGGTCGGGACCCCTGGGAGGGTCACGAGAGGGTGTCCGAGGGTTTGCCGAAGACCATCAGAAAACACTCTTGGTCATCTGGGTTACGTGTGGAAAGTTAGATCCAATTCTATTGTTGGTGGGGTTCAGAATGCTCTTTGGTTGTAGGTGAACTATAAATCCCAGCAACTACAACTCCCAAATGCCAAGGTCTATTTCCCCCAAACTTCACTAGTGTTCACATTTGGGCATATTGAGTATTTGTGCCAAACTTGGTCCTGATCCATCATTGTTTGAGTCCACAGACGTAGATGAACTACAGCTCCCAAACTCAAGATCCGTGCCCACCAAACCCTGCTAGTGTTTTCTGATGGCCATGCGAGTCCTGTGTGCCAAGACTGGTTCAGTTCCATCATTGGTGGAGATCAGAATGCTCTTTGATTGTAGGTGAACTATACATCCCAGCAACTACAACTCTCAAATGATAAAACCAGGCCCTCCCCCCAACCCTACTAGTAGTCAAATTTGGGCATATTGGGTATTTGTGCCAAGTTTGGTCCAGTGAATGAAAATACCCTTATGACGATTCATAACAGCAGCAAAATTACAGTTGTGAAGTAGCAACAAAAATAATATTATGGTTGGGGGTCACCACAACATGAGGAACTGTATCAAGGGGTCGCGGCATTAGGAAGGTTGAGAACCACAGGCATTAGATACACCTTCCCTGGAGGTGCTCCTCACACTTCCTGGGCTCTTGAGGCCTTCTAAAGAGAGGTGGGAGTTTTGGATTTTGAGATGACTGAATCATAGAGTTGGAAAGGATCACAAAGGCCATCTAGCCTGCCATCTTCCTGCCATGAGGAAGACACAATCCGAGCCCTCCCAATAGATGACCAATAGGATGAAACTCACCTTGAGACAAGAGATGTTGGTGGCCCTTCTTGGTGAACTGGCAAACAGGACTTCTTGTCTTTCAACTAGGGGAGGAAAAACAGAGTTAAATAAATCAGTACAATTACAAATACAGAAGAATGACATCTTCCTTAATGACCACTTAATCTACAACCTAAAGTCTGAATTAGGAGCCCCCGGTGATGCAGTGGGTTAACCGCTGAGCTGCTGAACTCGTTAACTGAAAGGTTGAAGGTTCTAATCCGGGGAGCGAGGTGAGCTCCCGCTATTAGCCTCAGCATCTGCCAAGCTAGCAGTTTGAAAAGCAGTTTGAAAAATGTGAGTAGATCAATAGGTACCACTCCTGCAGGAAGGTAACAGCGCTCCATGCAGCCATGCCAGCCACATGACCTTGGAGGTATCTATGGACAACGCACCAACCCCCAGAGTTGGACACAACTGGACTTACAGCTTACATTCATCAATCAAGGGGCCTACTTTGACTTGTCAGGAGGGAGGAGGGATAGGCTCCTTACTTAGCTATAGCCTGGGCTATGTTGTACCAGTCTCTGTATCTGGAATGTATAGATAACAGGTCCCCCTCTTCTCCCCCTTTCAACAATCCTTCTCTGTCCTGCTGGCTTCCTTACACAGAGAGAACCTGATTTTTCTATACATTCCAGTTCTTGTAAAGTACATACAATATATGCATAAATAAATATCTGTTTTTCCAATATCTCCCCATCAGATCAATAGGTACCACTCCTGCAGGAAAGTAACAGCGTTCCATGCAGCCATGCCAGCCATGCCTTGGAGGTGTCTATGGACAACGCCGGCTCTTCAGCTTGGAAATGGAGATGAGCATCAACCCCCCAGAGTTGGACACAACTGGACTTAATGTCAGGGGAAAACTTTCCCCCATTACTAGAGTCTGAATTATAAATCCATCCCTTTGATGTTTAAAGTACAAACACAAGAGTTCGTTCAATGTAGTCATGCCACTTTACAGTATTTATTTATTTATTTATTTATTTAGCAATTTTGTATACCGGTCTTCTTCTCCCCTCTATCGGGGGACTCGGGCCGGTTTCCAACAATCAAATCACAAAACAATCATTAAAAACATCATATGACATATTCAATTAAAACGTTATAATAGCAAAATGCAATCACATAATAACAATGGTCAGTCGTCATAGTGAATTCGTTGTCCATCATTCATCGTCATCTATCCGATCACAGAAATATTGATTCACTCGTTGAAAGCCAAACCCCATAGCCAGGTTTTCACCCGTTTTCTGAATGACAGAATGGAGGGGGCAGTTCTGATCTCCAGTGGGAGAGAGTTCCAGAGTCGAGGGGCCACCACTGAGAAGGCCTTGTCCCTTGTCCCCACCAGACGCGCTTGCGAGGCTGGTGGGTAAATTTTTTTCAGGGGGGGTTTTGGGGGGGGGGGGGGGGGGGGACTGAGTCTGAGTGAAAGAGGGTCTTGCCTAGCAAACCTTTTGTATCATTACCCCAATACCCCCATGCATATGGGATATATTGAGTATGGTGATCAGATCATGATATGAATAAACATAACAGTTTAAATAATGCACCAGTAAGGCCTTTTCGCGAACCACCATGAGAATTTCGGGGGGGGGGGGGGCGGAAGCCCCTCAAGCCCCCCCCCCCCGGCTACATGCCTGGCCCTGTCCCTCATCCCCACCAGACGTAGAAAAGTAGAAAAGACCTTCCAGAGAAAGCAGGATGGAACGATAGAAAGATCCAGCAGCAAAGGAGAAAGAAGGAATACTTACCAGACCAAAACGGAAGATGTGATCTTAGAAATGGAAGGCTCCGAGGAAACCCAGCACGATGCCTATCGCTTTCTCTGCAGCACCTTTTAAAGACCTCTGGACTACACCTTGCAGGATGCACACAGCTCCGAAGAAGGCGTGCAAAGTTATACAATCTAGCCGAGGGAGGGGAGTTCCCATGCTTGAGCAGGAAGCACATCTCTTTGCTTATCATTTTGTGGTCACTTTTTTGTCCCTTTGCTTTGACCGACCACACTTTTCTCTAGAAAGATTCAGCCAAGTGTTGACACTGTTTGTCAAAGTAACCGCAAACTGACCTCACACCACAATCTTACTTCCAAAGAGTTGCACTTCCCTTTATGGAAGCAGAGCTTTCCAATCTGTGTATAGGAACACACCAGTATGTTTCCTATAGGCCAGTGTTTCTCAACCTTCCTAATGCCGCGACCCCCTAATGCAGTTCCTCATGTTGTGGTGACCCCCAACCATAACCCTAACATTATGAATCGCCATGTAAATAATGATCTGCAAGATGTATTTTCATTCACTGGAGCAAATTTGGCACAAGTACCCAGTATGCCCAAATTTGAATACTAGTGGGGTTGGGGGGGGGGATTGATTTCGCCATTTGGGCGTTGTAGTTGCTGGGATTTATAGCTAACCTATAAACAAAGAGCATTCTGAACCCCACCAACAATGGAATTGAACCAGCAGAAAATACTGGAAGGGTTTGGTGGGCATTGACCTTGAGTTTGGGAGTTGAAGTTCACCTATATCCAGAGAGCACTCTAGACTCCAACAATGATGGGTCTGGACCAAACTTGGCACAAATACTCAATGTGTTCAAATGTGAACACTCGTGGGGTTTTGGGAAAATAGACCTTGAGATTTGGGAGTTGTACTTGCTGGGATTTATAGTTCACCTACAATCAAGGAGCGTTCTGAACCCCAACAACTTCCCACACAGAGACCCCATGACCAGCAGAAAATACTGTGTTTTCTGATGGTCTTTGGTGACCCCTCTGACACCCCTCATGACCCCTACAGGGGTCCCGACCCCCTGGTTGTTTCCTCTCTGCTGTTTTGCTGTTGTAATGTTAGAGTTTTTTTAATACTGGTAGCCAGATTTTGTTCATTTTCATGGTTTCTTCCTTTCTGTTGAAATTGTCCACATGCTTGTGGATTTCAATGGCTTCCCTGTGTAGTCTGACATGGTGGTTGTGAGAATGGTCCAGCACTTCTGAAAATGAACAAAATCTGGCTACCAGTATTAAAAAACTCAAAAATTACAGCAGCAAAACAACAGAGGGGAAACAAACAGGCACATGAAATCACTCTCAACAAAAGTTTCCCCCCAGGCGCTTCCAAGCCATTGAATGCAAATCAAGGTGATCAGCTGAAACATTCACACCTAGCCCAGCAGACAAGAGTCCTTTGTCCCACCCTGGTCATTCCACAGATATATAAACCCTTTTCCCTAGTTCCAACAGACCTCACTACCTCTGAGGATGCTTGCCATAGATGCAGGCGAAACGTCAGGAGAAAAATTGCCTCCAGAACATGGCCATATAGCCCGGAAAAACCTACAATAACCCAGTGATTCTCAATACTCTCTACATTCTCAGTCTCTTCTCTACAACACACAGTGCTTAGTCCCAATTTGTAGCATCTAATCTATCACAGGTGGCTTAACAGTTGCTCTTCATGCAATGCTTGGACATGGTCCTTACAAATACTTACTCACTTTTTCACTTAAGAAATGACTCAATTAGAATCATAGAATCAAAGAATTAAAGAGTTGGAAGAGACCTCATTGGCAATCATCCAGTCCAACCCCATTCTGCCAAGAAGCAGGAATATTGCATTCAAATCACCCCTGACAGATGGCCATCCAGCCTCTGTTTAAAAGCTTCCAAAGAAGGAGCCTCCACCACACTCCGGGGCAGAGAGTTCCACTGCTGAACGGCTCTCACAGTCAGGAAGTTCTTCCTCATGTTCAGATGGAATCTCCTCTCTTGTAGTTTGAAGCCACTGCTCCCTTGCGTCCTAGTCTCCAGGGCAGCAGAAAGGAAGCTTGCTCCCTTTTCCCTATGACTTCCCCTCACATATTTATACATTGTTATGATGTCTCCTTTCTGCCTTCTCTTCTTCAGGCTAAACATGCCCAGCTCCTTAAGCTGCTCCTCATAGGGCTTGTTCTCAAATATAAAATTCTGACAAGAGATAGTAACTTATAGTTTTGCTAAGGGCAAGGACGCCAGGCTGGATAATAAGGGTTAAGCCTTGGTCAATTTGGTGTGTATCATTTAATCAAGGCTTTATGCTCTATTTTCATATGTTTACAGCAGAAAGTAACCAATTTATTACTGAAAATCATGCCACAAAAGTATTTGACTTTTTCCATCTGAGACACACCTGGGCTCCTGATGGTCCCCCACCTCACAAACAAGGGACTCTCTTTCCCCCTCGGGGATATATTTCCCTTTATGGACACTGGGGGAAGGTAGTTGGATTTACTCTCTGTATTATGATTTCTATATTTTCATATTTTCTCCTGTATTTCTATATTTCCCCTCATGTTTCCTGACCTTGCCCTGAACCCTTTGCCCCCTTCCCCTCTCCTTGGGGGAAATCTACAAGGAAGCTGCCCTGCCTCTGGAAAAGCCATCTGTAGAATTTGAAGAGGCACGAATGGAGGGCGAAAGAGAGAAACATGCCAAGCGGAAGGCATGTCAAGCTAACTCTGACCGGGATCACCTTCCACCTGGAAACCGATGCCCTCACTGCGGGAGAACATGCAGGTCAAGAACAGGGCTCCACAGTCACCCATGGAGCCATTGCCAGGAGACCTATCTTAGAAGATTATCCTACTCAGACAACAAGGGATTGCCTAAGAAGTAAGTACCCCAGGTCTCGGTGGTGGTCAGGGGAGCTTTTGCACAATTAAAACTTGTGCGCCAGCTGCGCCCGTACCTTGGGAAGTTTGACTTGGCCACGGTAGTCCACACTCTGGTTAGATCCCGTTTAGACTACTGCAACGCTCTGTACATGGGGTTGCCCCTGAAGACTGCCCGGAAGCTTCAATCAGTCCAACGTGCGGCAGCCAGATTGCGAACAGGAGTGGGGTACAGAGACCATACGACCCCTCTGTTACGCCAGATCCACTGGCTGCCGATTAGCTTCCGTGCACAATTCAAAATGCTGGTTTTGACCTATAAAGCCCTAAACGACTCCGGCCCAGTTTACCTGTCCCAGTGGATTCTCCCCTATGAACCATCAAGGTT